GACCCCGCCCCCGCCGCCGCCCCCGCCGACACCACCGACCGTACAAAACGTCGAACTCGAAAGGCGGCGGCGGCGGCGGCTCCACACATTCGGCATTCGCCGCGCAGCGAGCTTCTGCGACCTAACGTGTTCCGCGAACGTTCGCTTCTTTTGACGCGTCCTATAGACCGACACGCGGTGAGTAGGGCGAGCACCGAATGTTCGTCAAATGGCAAATAGCTAGCGATTCATCCACCCTACTCGAAGTTTGCGAGCGGTTGCTCGTTACGCGACGAATAACGAATGTTTGAAGCCACCTGAAGGTTTTGCGGGTGGTGACAGCCTTTAGATAACAAAACAGGAAATGTCAGAAAAAGTTGTCGACATAAAAAGGCAAGGAGAGTAACAAGAGTAGAAAACGAAAGAGAGAAGGGGAGTAAATATTAAACGTGGAACGTGGTGGTGGAAAGGTCGCATTACTAATAAATATGAAATGTTTAGTAGAGGACGAAACAAAGATTCACTTAATTCGCGCACTTAAAATTGTAGATTAGAGGATATCCCGACACCTCAATATTTCTCACTCCGGAGAGAAGTTTTACCAAAGAATATGAAATAAAATTATTTTTAATACTCGTTTACTAGTGTTAATGTATTAATATTTAGAATGTTATTAGAGGTCTGGACAATTGTTTGCAATAATTTCTTTAAAAATATTTACTTGTAAACACCAAAAAAGTAGCATAATTCTCTTATGTTTTCGTAAATTAGAGGAATTCAAATATTTTAGATACAGTCTCATCATGAAAATGAAGTCAAGTTACTGAGTTTACTGGTTTGATTTTTATCAAGGTTCTCATTAGAAACGATGCACAGTTGTACTTTCAATCGTCTGTAAATAGTCGTACGTGACAATGAAACTGTGACGTAATTTTTTTCAAAAACCCGAGCATTGTGAGAGTATGTAATGGGAAAGTAAGTAATACAGGAAGACAGTAACGAGGACAGCCGGAGTTATTCACGACAAACAAGAGAGCTACGCATGTCGCCAGCTATCGAAGCAAAAAATACAACCAGCAGATGGCCAGTAACCATGCAAGTTCAACAAGGTCTTTTCGACATTCATCATTGTCACTACTTAATAGGCAGGGATCAAATAAAGCCTTTGATCAGACAGTGCAACAAGAAATAAAATATAAAACAGTGCGAAATTCTCGTACGGAAATAACCTAAATACATACATTGAAGTGTTTCAAATGTGTTCCAAGAGACATTCAAGACACTGTGCTAGATTAAAACTCCCAAAGAAAACGCTGTATAAACATCGCTTGGAAACGTAAACTCAGAATCCCAGATGGCGAAAGTGCACACATACGCAGATGTGCTTTTAATAACATTCGCGACTTGACATATCCATTTTCAGTATACTTTGTTACTGGGTTTTCAGCAGATACTTTTCAGCAGTGGTGTTTCAATACTTAACAGAACGAGAAGTAAAAACATACAATTCAAACTCTCAATGCAATGTTGCCAAAAGTACTTTTCTTGCACTTGAAAATATGTCTACGTATGTTTCTTCTCTCCACTACAAACGGCAACTTCTCATCTATTTATATTACATTTTATGGTTTTGCTTTGATTTTTGCAATGTTAAATATGGTGTAGAGTTACTAAAATACGCGTCAAAATTCGTAAATGCAACCGTGTAATCCGGTGATGGAAAAAACACACACACGCACACAGTATATTCACTCACACAGTCGCACAGTAGCAAATTTATCCTGGAAACATCTTCCTACTACATCTACACTCATTAGTACACTGTTGCGCAATACACACTTACACACTAACACGGCCGCGCAAGCATGTACATACACATTCTCTCTCACTCTCACTCGTTCTCTCTCTGACTATCTCTCTCTCTCTCTCTCTATATATATATATATATATA